AAGAGCGTGAACTCGTAGAAGCCGGAGTTGACGACGATCGTTTAGCCGTCGTGCTTGTTCTAGGCGTCCCCACTGGCATCCAAGGAGCAGGACTATTTCTAGGCGGGGCCATTGGCGTACTTTGCCCCCGCGGCGTGGATGAAGGCATCCACGACGCAATGGCACCGTCCTTGCTTCCAGAACTAGGCGTGCTCGGCGGCATCCAGCTGGAAGACGAAGCCGAGGTAGATTTGCGAGGCGTACAAGGAGGGTCAACCGCGCGACGAGGTCCACCTCCACGGGGAATGTCACCAAGCTTTTTCGCCAAAGTAGTCCACTCCAAGGGCCATGCCTTTTTGGTGGGAATAATAGCTTGGTAATGCTTGTCCTTCAGGTACAACACGACCGTGTTTGCAAACGTCTGTTGGCAAGGAATCAACACCGCCCTCTTGTCACCGCCATTGTTGACTAACACCGTGATGTTGACTCCCAGTCTGTTGGCCGCTGCTTGTAAAGTTGTCTGGCATATCCACCGTTGCGGTCGTAGAAGTGAGAGAAGCCATCCATCGAATGTGGATGGGACCTCGCCACCCTCAGTCTCGACGCTCCAACGGGGGTCGGCGACCCAATCCTTGGAGTATTTGCCCTGATGTTTGCATATGTGCTGATGAACTTGCTGACGGAGCGTCCGGCCCATAGTTCTGATCTCATCGTCGGAAGGGTGGGCCTTGTCAAGGTTGTTTGACAACCAAAACCCAAAAGCCAGACTGTTGTAGCCGCAAGCCCCTTCCGCGCCGCAATCCTTAAGCGAGTAGCCAAACAAGGAAGGTACATCCTTTGATTTCTTCCTTGGCGGGCTATTCTTCACCGGTGGCTCCCTTTTCTTTGTGTCCTCTGCACCGTCATGTTGTCGTGACTGGTCCATGTTGACATCGTCCTCCGACTGCTTCTCCTCCACCTCCATTTCCTGCGACGTGGTGAAGGGCATCGAGCTTTTCCTGCGACGTGGTGAAGGGCATCGAGCTTTGCTTTGACCGAAGTTGCCGAGCGGGACGAACGGGTGTAACGCCCACCACTTGCGGGGCACGAGGCGGCACCCTTGTGAGCCACAGAGTGTGGTCCCCCACTTCTACCCCAAGAACTGCGCCCTCCGAGTCATTAGGCGCCTTGGCCTTGATCATCCAAGGCTTTCGGCCATGCGGGGGAAGAATGATGTGCACATCCGTCCATCCGGCCCCCGAGAGAGCCTCTTGGAGTTCAACATCGCGGAACCAAGAAGGAGAACCTTGGACTCGCCAGGCCACTGCAGTAGCAGGTGGCTTGGAATCCCCCGTGTATCGGAGACCCAAACACGCTCCTCCTCCTGTGCGGAATGCAAGCGGAAGCTTAGCAGAGTAAGCTTGATTTTTGCACTTCAAGAAATACGTGAGGTAATTGTCGTCCGCATTCTTGTCGAGCCATTGCACAGGTTGCTTACAGAATTCACTCTGTTGCTGTGCTAAGGGCCTGCCAAAGATGCCATCCTTGCCATTGTTGTTCTGAAGCTGCGAAGCCCCGTGCGCCGTCAACTTCGCAAATCCTTCGAGAAGAGTGGTGCGCTGGTCTCCCGATCCTATCGTGGACTGCTTCCATCCATAGGTGCTGTGTATCTCGGGCGCCTCGACCAAAGATTGTAGCGCCCTCTGTGGAGAAGCGTTGATGTGTTGCCACTTGGATTTGTCCGCGAACATGGCGGGCACGGTAATCCTGAAAACCTGGAGCTGAATCTCGGTGGGCTTGTGGGTACTCTTGGATACTGGGCTCTTAGGCATAACGGGCAAGTCCTTCACCAGTGGCTGCACGTACAGCTTTTGAAGCGAAGGAGCACTTGAAGAACACACCGTGAAGGTCATCTGAGTTGCACCTCCAGGGTCCTCTTGCGTCAAGATGGCCACCTTACAGTTTATTCCATGCAGAGCCGCAAGGTCTCGGCACTGCTTGGCAAAATCCGTTGACCTGCAAAGTGAGGCCGCCCCCGTCGTACATTGCCCTTGCTCCAAGGTTTTGCGAAGGACTTCATCCTCGATGATTTTGTCTGGCCCCCAAGCAGCATGATGCAATGTAAGTTTCGGCTTCGGCTTTCTCCTCACCACCTGTGTCCATGTGTTGCCCTCGTCGGTCTTGGACTCGGTGATGTCGTGCTTGGCCTTGCCCTTGCCCTTGCTCTTGCTCTTGCTCTTATCCTCGTGCTTGTCCTCCTTTCCTGTCGTCTTTCCTGCACCTTTCCCTCCACCTGTGTCTGGAACATCATCTGCACGAGGATTTGGCTTGTCCATGGAGAGTTTCCCCGCCTTGGCCACTTCCACAATGGAGGTGATTGACTGTATCAGCTTGTCGTGAGGCTTCCGGCTGTAGCGATGCAGGGATTGCTGCAGAGCCTCGTCGTGCTTATCCTTAGATCGCGGGCCTTGTTGGCCATCACTGCGGTCCACACGGAATTTGACCAGGACCTCGGTGATGGCCTTGAACAAAAGGTCACTTTGAGAAGCGACCTCAACGTGGCCCTTGCCTTTTCCTCCCCCACGAAGGTCAAAACCATCGTAGTTGTAGTGCACGTGCTGGGTGCCTTTTGCATTCACCGAAAAGTTCCCAAGCGGAACCTGGCCATCGATCACAGAGGGATCCGAATCCACCTTTCGAAGATGGCGCTTTGCAAGAGCTCTTCTGAGACGTTTGAGCCGTCGCTTACGCCGGAATCTAGGTTGATGATACCATCGTCGCCATCGGCAGTGGCGAACGCGTATCCGACCGACCTTTCTGCAAGCCATGATTTTGAACGTCTTGCCCTTCTTCTTGAAACCATTCTTTCGATTCTGCAGAGCACTTTTCGCTGCACTGCAAATGAAAAGCAGTGCACCCACCCCAGCCGAGGACATAGCCAGGAAGCTTGTCGTGTGCCATTCACCTCCCTCCCTCTCTCTCGCTCTCTCTGGCTTGTCTCTCTCTCTCTATCTCCCTCTATCTCTGTCTCTCTCTCTACCAGGACAGAGGAGAAGGGCGGTCACCCCTCCACCCGCGCGCGCATGCGCCCCATCTCTCTCTCTCTCTCGCGCTCCCCGGGGCTAGACTTCCTTAGGAAAGGTTGAGACCGTCTCCTAGCAAATCAGTCCTCATCTGCGTCGATGCGGTGAAAGATTTGTCGGAGGATTTTCTGATCATCTTCTATGTTGAACTCCAGCTCTTGGGCCAAGTTGACCACGTCATTCTCACGAACTTCGGCGAAGGTGTCCACAACTACCTGGCCGTTGGGCTTGGCACATGTAACAAGCCACTCTTCTGCACTGTGGACTGAAGCCGTAAACAGGCAAGACTGAGTTCTCGGCGGCAACTATAAGGTTGAGAACGCCAAAGACTAGAGTCAGCAGCGAGCCAACAAAGATGATCGATGTCTCAGGGTGCGACTCAATGATTGGCACGGCAATCTGACCCCAGCTGTCTCCGGCAATGACCGTCTTAAACAACAGTAAGTTTGCCTGCATTACCGTCGATGTGGCCCGCATGCATTGCTCACAATCGGTGAACATGTCATGTAGTTCCAGTACATACGGGTGTATGATCTCGACCATGAGCATGGCCCACCCAGTCATCACGAGACACAGAAACACGAAGGACCACAGCAGCGTCTTCAAACAGGTGGCCAGCATGTTTACCAGCTTCTGCAATTCTTTCAAGGATCGGTTTCGGCGCAGAAGCTGCAGCAGCCGAACGATACGAATGAGGCGCAGTACTCGCATGGCACCGATTTTGGATAGAAACTCAACCTTCACAAAGGCGCTCACTAGCAGATCGACGCAGCCAGACACAATAATAATCAGGTCCATCCAAGCCAGCCAATCGTGCAACACCCGGCGTCCTCGGGACCAATGCAATCATGAAAATGCGGAAGCAAGCATCGCACTGATGCTCGTTGCCATGTTGTTGGCCTACGACCTTTCCTTACAAAGGTAACATCGCCGGCAACAGCGCTAGGACCAGCGAACAGTAGTCTAAAGACCGCGATGACCCCTCCCTGTGGCGTGGAAGTGTTCGAAAGGCAACTATACAGTGTCAGCAGAACGTGCCGCATGTTTTCCTAAAGTAGTGGGGCGTGAGACCAATAGTGCATCTTCATCTGGCGATGGAGCCAGGCAACTTGGCAGTACTGGGCGCGGTAGATATTACTATAAGTACCATTCTATATACTTTTGACCCTACCAGAACCCTAGCATAAAGGTGGCAGATATCTAAATTCGGGAGCGTTCAGAACCAGCCCGCCTCGTGCAAAGACTTGAAACAAGAGCTCGAGCGCGTACAAGCACAGGCACATCGTCGACAGACCCAGCACCAATCCAGGAGGCGTCTCACCGCGAGCTCTGAAATCGATATCCGTCGCCGTCAGGAATGCATCCAGGACGACGATAACAACCATAAAATGTGCAAACATCTTGTTCCGGAGGATCTTGCGGGAGAAACCCTGACACACTGTCAAAGCGACAGACTTCTCAGAGTTTGCCAAGACCTTGCCCTTGAGTGTAAATGAGTCTGCATCTGTTTCGGAGCGCTTGAAGTACTCTGTGGCGATGCCCTTGCTCTTCGTTTTGTGTTGCTGGGATTCGTCGCCAGTGCTCTCCTTGATCTCGCCTCTGTTGGTGAAAGTGAGGACACTGGTATTGCTTGCACCGCTGACCTCCCTCTCCCACTCTGTCTTGACGTTCAGGTCGAAGCCTTCCGATGTGGTGCTGCCCGAGGTTGCCGTGCGCTGCATGGCGGCCAGACCACCTTTAGTGTGTCTGTCGAAGCCTGCTGCCCGGCATCCAAATCAGAGTTCTTCGAGCTGAGCCCCATTACCACGGGCCACAGTTAAGACTGCACAGATCAGTGAGTTCGATTCATGAAGCACATCAGGCCACACTGCTACACTAAAGGCACATGTTGGGACACAAGCATCACTCCGCTCTGAATGCCTTGTGTTCGAAAGTCTGTGTCTTTGCAAACCGCGAAGCCTGGCAACCCATGGTGCAATGAAGAAGCCACTTCCTCAGATAAACATCTGGCTCCTTGAGTGTTTCAATACGGCCGGCTAGTCGCAAGTCTGGGCTGTGGAAGCAGCAGAAAAATCTTCATCGATCTTTAAGCAGAAGGAGGTATCACGTTGTGGCGGGCGCCTCAACAAGCCTGTCATTATTAAACGCAGCAAAGCATCAGCTTGCCGATCAAGTCGCGCTGGATATTTTCGCCTTTACGATCCTGACAGCGTAAACTTATAACTTCTGAAGTGACATGCAAAGGTGCGACCAAATAGCTACAACTGATCGTGGGCAACTCTTTGTGACGTGCTTTCATATCTTCTCATGACAAGACTTTGTGTGCTCTGCTCGGTACTGAAACACTAGGCAGGCATCTCAAACAGCTGGCCTCCAGGAACTGTTCAAAAGATATGGCTTTCCTGGCACACTCCGATGTCAAACAGCTCCGCAAATGCTTCATGGGATTACTTACACGGCAAAGGCCTCGCAGCACTGAGAGCTTCCCACCAAAGCATGCTGACTTGTATTTAAATCCAGCAAGTGCAACTGTGCACAGCAACGCACCCTACCTGGGAGGAAATTCAGTTGCGGTAGGTCTCTGGATGTTCGCGCTACATCCGATTGTCTTTCCGAATTCGTGTCGAGGCCTGTCCCAGCTTGGAGTCCAGACCATTCCTGGCTCCTGGCTTCCATTCGTCTGGGAGGATAGATTCGCTCTTTTCGCGCTTCGGATGGTACTGCCCTGGAAAGCATGCGCTATCAACACGGAACAAACGAGCGGAAGTCGGTAGAGCACATGTAACCTTACAGTAATTGTAGGATTATAGGCCCCCACTGGCCCAAAGATGCACAAGCGCTTACTTGCCAAATAAGACGCTCTCGATGGAAGCAAACCATCTCAACGGACATCATTTTGCGCACTGTGGCCTCTACTTCTTTGAGCTCAGCCATGAAACCTCAACAGCAACGAAGGCACGAGTTCTTCGCGACTCGACTCAGGCAAATGTGTCGAAAGCTTTCTGCTCAAATCCTGCCACAATGGGATTGCTGTCCCCTGACGGCCGCACAGAAAACATCTCACAGCTGGTTATGAAAGTGAAGGTCTTTCTCCGAGGATGCCCAAAACAGTAATGATCAGCTCGGGATTGCACGCAGCTTCATGAGGTCGCGATTTCCCAGAATGAAATAGACCTGCCCGATGCATACTTTGAGGGCGCGAACAATACTACTATACTGCCACTACATCTATATCTGACGCTTCTCGTTCTGCTTCCGCTACTTCTGCTACTACTGCAGCCGCTGCTACTCCTGCTGCCGTTGCTACTGCCACTAGCACCAATGGACCAATACTAATACCAATTCTAACTCTGGTTCCATGCTGCTGCTACTACTACTGCTACTACTACTACTACTACTACTACTACTACTACTACTTCTAGTACTACCACCGCCACTACCACTACCACTACCACGACGACGCCGACGACGACTACTACTACCACTACTACTACCATTACTACCACTAAGACGACGACAACGACAACGACGACGACGA